ACAAACACAAATAAATCATATATCTTCACAATCGTATGTTTAATGTCTTCATGTTTCCAAACGTTTCTGTTTTTCTGTGAAAACAACTGTTTTCATACAGCAATAGCTGGACGCTTTTGTCCATATTAGGAATTTCCCGGTACGACTTTCTGTGCGAGAGCATCCTCCGGCTTCGAGTATGAATGAAACATACACTGCACGGAGTGTTTAGCGCTCCTTGATGTTCATCTCGCCTTATTCTGGGTCCGAATAAAACATCAGATCATGCACAGACTATCCAGTCTCTTTGAATTTAAATCTATATTTATTCACACCGGCTCTTGAAAACCTCTATGCGAACACACTTGCCCGAAAAAGTGCGGGGGACGAATTTACGTGACATTACCGGTAAAAGTGGGGGGGACATGTCCCTCGCATCTCCTGTGTAATCTAGGCCCCTGTTATTAACGTCAACAACCAAAAAAGTTTCACAGGATTATGAATGTACCTGAAAGTGATGCACAGGCTTTTTTTTTCAGCACTGGATTTCTGATGTCTTTTCACGGGTATAGTTGTCCATAAATTATGATCATTTGCATTCAGGCGCAAACATAAGATGCGAGCGGCCGCGGATGCGGGAATGGCGCTTCATGTGTGCTTAGCCTAGCCTATTGCCTACTGCATTCACAGTAAAATGAATTTTTTAAAAATAATTATATATATATATATTCATGTTTATATTTTTATTTTTGTGTATGTATGTTAATTTTAATATTAATATAGAACGAAAGTTTTTTTTTAGCAACTGGGATGGTGCCCCCCTTGGAGTTGGTGCCCTACGCAAACTGCGTGCTCTGCGTATAGGGAGCGGCGGTACTGTGTGTCAGCATACCATTTAGTCTATCTCAGCCATCTCTGTCATTAACAGTGGTTAAATAAACAATGCCAACTTAATACACAATAACATTTTAATAACTAATTTAAGATGCAACACTTTGTTCTTACACAGGCCTTTATAAATGAAAACATCTGTCTTTACATTGTAGGAAGGAGTATTTTTTCCTTTAAAGTCATAACATTGACTATATACTCTAAACATTACATCAAATATTTATGGCCGGTATCTCCAGCATCATACCATATGATCAGTTCATAACATCATATCCCGTTCATCCCTCACCCAGAGGGCGGAGTCTACGGGTAGCGGCATCATATCCTGTTCATTTGCATGCCCTGAGGGTGGGGTATATGGCAGCAACGACAGCTTCAGAGAAACTACAGGGTGTATGACTAGGAACAGGCGATTAATGCATTCCACAAGATAGCATAAGAGACTGTGGAGGATAAAGTCACCGAGAGGTAATGTGTCTTTATTTATGCCCCTGTTTATTCATTCTTTTGTTTGTTTTTGAATTTTAGAAACGATCCACTCCAGCCCGAGCTTTTGTTACTGGTCGACAGGCAGTTATTTCAAGTCCCTGTGTGCGTATTTACGCTGTGAAAAATGTCAGTTGAATAAGGCTTAAACCCGTTATAAATCCCCCCTGTATGGGTTAGTTCGACCCAGCTAACAGCTGATCTCGAGAGACGGGCGTGTTTGCGGATGTCGCGCGTGTTTGGTTGATGTGGAGGTTTATTTTCGAAGCCCCAGCGTGTATGTGTATGAATCAAAGATATTAGACACTTTCAGTGAATAGAGTACAGCATGTTTCACTTGGATTGCAAATAAAGTGAAATTAGGTGCTTGTTATACTTTAGGAAATACTGCTCATTAACCTCACTGGGTCAATTAAATATTAGCCTGTATGACCTTATTTTCTGTTCAGTTTCTCTAGAGACTCTGTTAGAAGAACTGGGACATGCCTAAGTGCCATTCAAACACTAAATACACATATAAATTAAACGCGTAATGAAATTAATAAAATTGTGTTTTTGTTAAAAACATCTAAAAAACCAATTATGCTGAATGAAGCTGTCATTTAGTACGTTAGTGGCTTGATGTTTGGGACCAAATATTAGTTTGTAGTTATTGATAGACTTGTATTAAATTAAGTTTGTGTGGAATTGTGTGGAGTGTTATGCTCCTCCTTCAAGGACTTCTGAGCCTTACTTCCTATATTCTCCTAATAAAATGTCATAGTAAATTACACACTGGTAAAAATGGAGCACATGAAGGCACTGTACACTTCTCCTTTTTACCATACAACTCAACTGTTTCCCATTATATTCAGACAATACAATCCAGCTTTGAAATCTTTTTACTTTTACAATCCATTTTAGTTTATATTTAGTAATCCATCTTGTTTTTGGAGCAGGTATGTAAAGATGTACTTTTCTATCTCTTTAGCAGTTTGAAATATGGATTCAGATGTCCTTGTATCCAGCATACATATTATTAATTAGCCTAACCTTGAAAGCAGGCCTGCATGTAGGCTATCTTAAGCAGAATCTGTCCTCTCAGTACTTTGGAAAAGTTTTGTTTTTATTTCATATTCTGCGTTGTCAGCCCCCCCCCCCCCCCCTATTTCTTTTGGGGGATTTGGGGTACACTTCCCTGCCGTGTGGGGCTGGG